GAGAGAGAGAGAAGAGAGAGAGAGAGAGAGAGAGAGAGAGAGAGAGAGAGAGAGAGAGAGAGAGAGAGAGAGAGAGAGAGGGGGAGAAAGAGAGAGACAGAGAGAGAGAGAGAGAGAGAGAAAGAGAGAGAGAGAGTGAAAAGGGATTTTTTTTTAAGGGGAGGGGGGGGGGCATTTGTTTTTCTGCAGCCTGAAAGTAAACAGGGTCCTACTTCAAGAGTTTTTGTGCTGACAAACAGTAGCAAAAAACTAATATATTTATAACATCTGGAAATAAAAAATATTTTAACATTGTAACCTTTCTTTAAAAAATAAGTCCCACTGCGGAAATTTGGCATAGAGCGGCATATAACATGTTTTTCAAAACACTCATTAACTCCTTATATTATTTTCTAGTGACAACAAAACAATTTTTAAAAAGTTAATAAATGAAAGTGTAAAAAAAATAATCATCAAAGGTATTTACATGGAAACAGCATATGAATGACGTCAATAAGAAATATAAACGTTCTTTATCACAACGTATGACAGAGTCACAGCAAACTAATCCTTATTCAACTGCGCCAAGTTTGAATCAATTTCAGTTTTAGTAAGAGTTTTACGGCACTTGCAACACAATAAGGTCATATTAGTGCCAAAGATTAGAGGTGTTACAAGAGAGTAACAAACACAAAAAAGAAGGAGGAGAGATGAGGATGATGCTAGCTTACACAGGCAAAAGGAAATACATAATATTTTCACAGCATTGATTTTACTGTTGCCTTGTTTAAGTGAAGAGTTGCACATCGACACAGTGAAAGTCATTACGTGCACGGGAAAAAGTAAGACAGCCAAACTGAAAGTACAGAGGGAAAGACGAAAAGTAGGACCTATACCAGTAGCTTTATGAAACAATACCGCCTTAGCATTAAAATTCATGAATACTATCTATGATCTTTAACAATGTAATTGAAAAAATACCTCATATTTACACACACATATATATATATATATATATATATATATATATATATGCGTATTAGCACAAATACACATATACACATACACATTCACACCTAGATCTACACTAACGCTTGTGTAATCAAGTTTAAGTTACACACACACACAGAAGCAGTAAGCAGCTACTCACTGATCATTCACCCCCAATACAACACAAATGTCATCACTGTCGTCTGTCACGGTCACTCAGCCTTGGTCCGTCATAATTAGTCATAAAATCATCACAACAAAGCCACATTGTCACGACATCATCAAATTACGGTATATGTCCCTAACGATGGTGGTCTCGGCATCATCAAATTACGATATGTCCCTAACGATGGTGGACACTTTACATACTCTGCTTTTTTTCAACAGTTTTTATACTATGAAACATCCTCTGCTTTTATAAATGTCTAACAGCTGAGACCCACACTTATGAAAGCTACTACTTTGGCTACAACAAGATACAAGGTAACTTGTGAAGAGCTGGAGCAGCCAAGGATTCTGACCTTAAGTATTTTCCATAGTTTTCCATATATTCTGTGGATTTTCCTTTTGTGCTTTTAGAAAGTGTGGGGGGGGGGGGGGGGGGGGCAGCATGGGGGTAATAGTTTTTGAGGAAGACCTGTTCAATTCAGCTCACAACAGTACACATGACGAGGGGAAAAACTAAAGGTGGAATATTCTAATAGAAAAGAACAGTTTGCTCTATTCTGTCTTGTTCTCTATAACATTGTGTGAAAATTTAGCTTTAAAAGAACAAATCCAGTCACTACTACTGTCAATTATTTCAGGACAAGAAAAATATAATGAAATATTATCTGTGTGAATAAACTGGTCTTGCTAAGACCACAAAAACCATTCTTCGTTCGTCAGATCTCGTCGAGGATTTGACTCTCTTGTCCTCCTCACGGGATGGTATAGTAAAAAACTCAGTCCCCTGGATGTTATAAAAAACTCAGTCCCCTGGATGTTATACAAAACTCAGTCCCCTGGATGTTATACAAAACTCAGTCCCCTGGATGTTATATAAAACTCAGTCCCCTGGATGTTATATAAAACTCAGTCCCCTGGATGTTATATAAAACTCAGTCCCCTGGATGTTATACAAAACTCAGTCCCCTGGATGTTATACAAAACTCAGTCCCCTGGATGTTATACAAAACTCAGTCCCCTGGATGTTATAAAAAACTCAGTCCCCTGGATGTTATACAAAACTCAGTCCCCTGGATGTTATACAAAACTCAGTCCCCTGGATGTTATACAAAACTCAGTCCCCTGGATGTTATACAAAACTCAGTCCCCTGGAGGTTATACAAAACTCAGTCCCCTGGATGTTATACAAAACTCAGTCCCCTGGATGTTATACAAAACTCAGTCCCCTGGAGGTTATACAAAACTCAGTCCCCTGGATGTTATACAAAACTCAGTCCCCTGGATGTTATACAAAACTCAGTCCCCTGGATGTTATACAAAACTCAGTCCCCTAGTAGTCCAAACTCATGAGCAGGGCCGTTCCTCTCTTGACCCAGTGGTCCGAGGGTTTATCTCCTGCCTTCAGGTCCACGGCCACCACAAAGCTGGGTCGTCCCATCGCTCCGGAACGGTTCGGGTAGTAGTAGCAGGGGGCGGTGTACACACCTGTGGACGCACAAACAACAATGTACGGCATATCGATGAAACGACCAGGATGAGAAAAAACAATCGTTTTTTTTACAAAAATATTTTAAATTTTCAAGTAGAAAAGCGTATGGAGACACAAGAGGTCATTTCATTCAGTTAGTGTTTGAGTAGATTTGAAGTACATCAACACAACAACAATCTTTTAGTACGAGTTTGGGTAAAGACATGTACGTCGATAAAATATAATATATAATGGCCATTGAGTTATTTTGCCTTTATACACTGACACAAAAACAGTCATTTGTTTTAGCGATTAGAATAGTACTCTTTGGTACTCTTTGAGAATTTACTTAGAAAGAAAGCTTCCCTTAAAACTAAAAGGATATATGTGTTACAACACAGTAGAATCAAATGCTTGTCAATTGTTGGGCATATGGAGGTTTTAGTATAATCACACAGTTTGTTTCTTTGTCTTGCTTTTCATTAAAAAATACCCATCTCTCTGGAATAGAAGTCGAGATATTCGTGACTGAAGGAAGTGGTGTCAGAGGTAAAAATAGTGTTAAATGACAGCTAAAATTTAGTGACTTGCAAAGTTTGAGCGTCCTTGGAAACGGATAATTCCCTTTTTGTGCCTTTCATCAACATTTTCTAGAAAATTCCATACAGAAATGTGTTTTTAAATAGGGATAGGCCTATAAAATGCAATGAGCACACAAAAAATTGATTAAAATTGCCCAAGGGGCAGAAAAATAAAATGGCGGTGTCTTCGATTTCAATCTTTTGACAAGCAACTGATTTCAACAGCATGTCACACAAACTGTAATTTATTTCTGCCACAGTAATAGTAGACACACAAAAAAATGAGCAAACCGTGTGAGTCTCAAAATATAAAAAACAAAAAATTTGAGAAATAATTTCTCACTGAGAATGAGATCGGAACAGAAAATGAGAAACCAAGAAACAAAACAAAATCCTTGGTATGAACTTCCATCGTGACCAAAGCATGCCTAGTTGAGGTGACACAACAATGATAATATTCACTTAGTGAATAGCATCTACCGTAGAGGAAACGATGACCAATTAGAGGCCACGAAAGAAAACAGAAATATTGACGTGAGAAAACTGGAACAAATTAATCCTTTTAATCCCCCACAATTCAAAAAGGAAGAATGACGTTCTCATAAACGATATCATCAACAATGTCGCAGAGTACCTCTGCAAAAACTCTGAAATCCCAGAAATATGCTTGGAAATCTGTTATAACATGATAATATTTGCTTTTTTTGTCTTTCCCTCCCAGTCCTCCATCTCTCTCACTCCCTCTCTTTCTCTCTCTCTCTCTCTCTCTATCTATCTATCTATCTATCTATCTCTCTCTCTCTCTCTCTGTCTCTCTCTCTGTCTCTCTCTCTCTCTCTCTCAATAATTTGACCCAAGTGGTATGGTATATCACAAAGGAACCCTCACTATTCCACACCAGGATTCCTTCTGCAAGATATCTCCAAACCCTGGCCAAAACACAAACACAAAACCCTTCCAAATTGTGTAGGTTTAGTTTAGATTTAGTAGAGGTTTTACGGTGCTCACAACTGCATAAGGTCAAATGAGCCCCAGAAGATTAGAGGTGTTACAAGAGAGTAACCAACATTAAAAAGAAGAAAGGGAGATAAGGATGATAGATGTATGATAGGAAAGAAGAAGAAAACCACACCAGAGCACCCGCCAACAACCCACTGTATAGGTTTAACATCCCTGGAAACACTGTAAGTTTATTTAGGAGGCGGAACCTCTGAATTTAATGCCCATCTCCAATAAGACTGAACCACATGAGAAAACTTCATGTATCCCAGTAATGCCTACCTCAAGGACACAACATTAAACCGAGATGAACAATCATCACAACAAAGCCACATTGTCACGACATCATCAAATTACGG